CATGCAGGCTCGTCTGCGTGAGTGCAGCTAGTAGTCCACTGACATGCTGGCACTTTTCTCAGCTCACATTGTTTAGAACCAGAAAGAAAAAATATATATATGCCTCGCCTCATCTTTCCGTGCAATCTACAGAAAGACTTTTATAAAACTTTGTTGGCTCATACCCAAAATAAGATTCCTAAGTCACTTAATTGACTCATTAGTCTAAGAAAAATCTTTAAATTGCTGTCACCCTATGTGCTTTCACATAACCAACATGTGTGCATTGGCACCTATGTGACATGGTTGCCACCGTTGGATAAAGCTCCATAATTGTCCAGATGAATGAACCAGTAAATGAATCGTCCTCCTGGACATGACATCCTTTTCCAGAACCTTTGTCAGAATGATCAGTTTTTAGATATCATTTAATAACAATTAGAATACTTAAATGAAGTTCAAAACATTAATTAGCAAAATTTGCAGGTAATGATTGTGCAGCCCCAGACCTGTTCTGCTACCATCACACACAATCTCATAGCAGGACAATATGCAGGTTACAAATCACACCAAGCTACGTGGGCTGGGGCCACCCTGGAGTTTTGTTAGGCAAAGGTTCATATGTCTATTGCCAACTGGAATCAGACCTAAGTTTCTGTTATCGGGTTTACCAACCATAAGTGTGTGTGAGTCTTAATGTGCAAGCGTAAGCTTTTACAATTCACTTTTTTTGCGCTGTGATTGGTTCTCAAAGCAGATAGAGCTATGATTGGCCCACCATTATGGACCAATCACAGCTCTCTGTGTGTTTGAAACCCCTCTAGAGAGCTGTGATTTGCCAGCCAGAATGCTGCTAGGGGCTGCAGACGTCCCAGTGGAGCGTTCCTAGACCAAACTTTGCAAAGCAAAAATTTTGTCTAGTTCACCAGGCTAATATGTAGCCATTCACCCTATCAATGCTGCTTTTATGGTTCACATCTCTGTCTGGACGAGTTTGTGCTTTTTGTTCCTGACAACAAGTTGAATGACAATTTAAAACAAGCTTGGCAGCCTCTGCCCTTTGCTGTACAAGAGGTTAAGTGGAAGTCTCAAAGGTAGAAGTTATGAAAGCTCTAGCATGCTACTTAGACCGACCAAAACACATTTGCTACAAGCGGGTGTCAGAGTAATGAATCTAATGAATACTTAGCAACCTTCCCTTAAGCTATAGCAGATACTCCCTAATGTTAGTTTTCTGGCAACGGAGAGGGTCGGTTTACCATCACATCATCAGTAATATCTATTTAGAGCCAACTCCATCTGGGAGCCCCTCCTGAACAGCACTCCCTCTCCCATATGCACACGGTTTTATTTATGATCTTCTTTATAAAGAGGAGATCAAGTGACAACTAAAATATTGGATCCTGTTGGATTGGGGACCAAGACGAGCCAAGAGACCATGCAAGAGAGCAGTATTGTGCTGACAGCAGCACTGATCGCATTAAAACAAGCGCTGCAGCAAACGGGAGAGAGGATTTTTGCCGTTTAATTAACAGTGACAAACTCTGGTGTGCCCCCAGTTGTGTCGTAAGAGGTAAACCAGATTTGCAACCAAATGAGCGCATGAAGCCGCTGATATCTGCCAGGTAACTAATGTGTTCGTAGTACACAATATTTGCTACATCTCCAGCCAGGCTGTTGGAAATGAGATAGTTCCTGCTTATACAGTTAAACTGCTTTAACAGAGCAGGCTGTAGCCTAATTAAAAAAAGTACTGAAACGCTGAAAGTGGTGAGAGCGTTTCCCTGCTATTGGTTATGCTCTGTGGTAAGAAGCCAGTCAACAATTCCTCCTTTAAATTGCATCTCGTAGAGCTTTAACAGTCACTTAATATTCCGCTTTTCCATCTTACCGGCATTTGTTCTGGGGCGGGGACAGTAAGACATTTCAAACAGAGGCTTTCTCTGGCACAAGTGCTTATAGTAAATGTCAAGACCTTTCAGAACCATAATAATGACACGGAGAAGGAAAATGATGCATGGTGCTGTTTTGGTCCAAGATAGAGCTACAAAACGCTGCTCCGCCACAATCATGTACAGCCAGAAAAGATTTTCATCAACTGCTCTGTTGACACGAGGCAATGATTTTAGATTTATACGAATATCAGACTTTCAAACTAGTGACAGGTCAATTTTGCACCATTACACAGACAAAGGCCTGTGGTGCACGCCTTATTTGGGGCTGAGAGCCAACTGTCAAAGCAAATAACAAAAATAAGCTAAGATTATTGTCTTATTCTGTGTAGAGCCTTGCTACCGCGTCTTTGCTTTTTGCTAGTTCTCTGCCTGGTGGAATTTAAAATAAAGCCTAAGAAGCTAAATTAATATTTTATTTGTCAGGTTTTCACCAAATACAGCTGTTAAAGGAAACAAAGCAGGCATTCAATATATCAAAAGGCAAGTTTATGCAAATTCCAACTGTCTAATCTTAGCCTGTCCTAGAGAATTCAGTCATTCCACGTGGAGTAAATTTCCAGACACTACCTCTTTGCTGTTGATTACGGCTGCTTATCCATGTGGAAGAGGCAGCCACTGATGCTGTGGGTTTCCTGGCAGGAAACTATCTTTTCACTCTGCTGTCCGCTTCAAATTTACAGCCAGATGAGTCGCTTACTGTGAAGGTTTATTCAGCTGAATCCAAATTACATGAAACCTGTAAGGCGATGGGGAATTGAAGGATGTGTTGCTCCTCTAAACAATGTGCCCCTGTGGAAGTTCACTGATTCCATGCACGTGGAAAAATTTGCATACATGCATAACGCGAACGCAGGCAGGCGTCTTGGAGGATGTAATTTCGTCTCAGTGTGAACGTGGCGGAGCCTTAGGGTTATCGGAAAAGATTGAAAGGGTGATGATATGCAATGTGAACCGCTTTTCATCTTCAGGAGACTCAAATCGTTTAATTGATGTGGACCCACTGTCCAACATGAATCAGACCAGAAGAAATGCACAACCGAGAACCGAGGAGGTAGGGGAAATTAACATACGACAGCAGATGCACCTCTCGGGAGCTACGCCATAATCCAGAGGCAGTGAATAATTGCACGCTTCTCATTTTTGTCAGTGTTTCAGAATGTGCACTTTTTTCTGCTAGCAATCAGCTTTGGGACGCAGTAAAATTGCCCGCTACCAGTTAGGGGTCTTGACAATAGAGAAGCTCAACAGGCAGGCAACTGTTTTCCGCAGTTGGCTCCTAAAGAGATGATTCATTCATGCATCAATGCCCGACTCTCCAGACCACTAAGGGGGGTGGGGGTGACAGCCATAGCTGCTTGTGGTTTGAGAAAATGACAGGGGGGGACAAAAGAGGCCTTTATCATCACTTCAGAGGCAAATATGTTAAGCAACAAGAAGTAAACCAGAATGCCAAATTGTGTCACGCAGGCGGCATTAATTAATATGAATAAAGCAAATGGTTGGTTACAATCAATGCTAAATTACTCATTAATTATTTACAAGAGCCCAGCAACGCAATCCTCTTGAACATATTTTCTCTACATCTTTGTGGCATTTACTGAGGCAGTGACCTGCGTGAAGGTAGGACTATACCTAATTTTAAGGCATGTGGGAGGCAACCTGTCTAATGAACTGCTTCACAGCACTGGGATATTCTGCTCCAATAAACCATTCAGACTCACGCAGAGCTTCTCCCACTGATCGCAGCAGACCCAGACCGATAGGAGAGAATTAGCCACCCTCCAGCCAACGGTTCAGGTCTTTTGATGGGGTGGCCCTCGGGCATGAACAGATCATGACTAAAATACAGACTACTCCTGTCAAGTTAATTCTGACGCGTTTGGAAAGAACGGCACATCGAAGATAGCCTCGTGCCACAGAAACTAATCATCTCCTTGGTATTCAAGTTTTAGACAACAATGATTTAAAGCCAAGCAGAGATGCTCTGCTGCTCTGTATTCTGGTCCACCTCTCTGAGAGTCAACATCTGCAGAATTCATATTGAAACAGGCCAAGCCTGGCCCCCTCAGCCTTCCCTCAGGGGCATCGGAGGGGATATTTGATATTGGCAGAGCTAGAAATTATCACCAGTCAGCAGAGTTCTTGAATTGTTTCATCTATTTTGAACTTTTTTATTTTGTTTCTCACGTCAGTGCAAACTGTCAACCTGTACGCGTATTAATGTGTACCTTCTGATGAGAGCGATCAGTGTTCTGAGACTTTACTTAATAGTTTGAAGATGTTCTGGAACATTTGTGACTTATGGGTGCGTTGTTAAAGCCTCCTAGATGACAGGGAGCAAAAACCCCGCCCATGGAGATTAATTCAAGCCTCAACAAGCAGCTATACCTGTGCAGCTGGCACCGTAGCCTACGTGATGGAGGGAAAGGGGAAGATGGGGGAGAAATCGCGTCATTTTTCATAACTCGATTCACATCAGCAGCAGCCACACACACACACGCTTCTGCCTCCGTTTGAAACTGCGACATCACTCCGAGCGTCCACCACAATCCAGTGTGGGGCTCTTAAAAGAAGCCGTGTTGTTTAGCTCATTTGTTAGCACCCATGCACGGCTTACGTTTGAAACGGTGGGAACCACCGAACATAATGTAATCAAACTGCATAAGCGACAGGCAGCACACAAGCCAACTCTGTGTCACCTAGCGGGGGGTACAGAAACAAGCACAACACCTGCACGGGTCCACACTTTATTCCTTCTGAGCTGGTGCGTTCAAATGCTAAAGTGATATCGGAAACTTTGCAGTCAATGGAGCTGCACTTGTCCGAGAACAGCGTCCTCCTCCTGGGTAGGGGTCCTCGTTCCCAGGCTGTCCACCCCGCCGACGTCAGGGACAAACAAGGACGGGATGGAGGGAAAATGGAGCTATTGTTTGGATGTCGCTGGCGCTAAATAACAACCACCCCCCTTGCAAAGTTAAGGAGCGTGTGGAGGGGTCAAGCGTTTAACTCCGGAGAAAAGGCGAACAAGAGAAAGTTAAGTTGTAGCTGTGTGGTGGTGTTGTTTACCTCAGTAGAGCCGTGTCGCCTTGTCTGCTGACCACACTTTCAATCGAGGATAAGTCCACAGTTTGTCCGGCGGGCAAACAGGACGGCAGAAAGCAGCAGAGGCTGAAAATGATCGCAGTAAGCCACTGACCAGAAACACAAGCATCCTGCACCGCAATCATGATGTCCATCACTACTGGATTCTTCTCTCGCTGCTTCTCTCCCCTCCAAGTCTTCCTGTTACCGAAAGCGGAGAGTTGGTTCTAATAAAAAATAAATAAAAAAAAGAATAAACCAGAAAATCCTGATGCTTTAATTTAATTTCCACACTTTTCCAGCTCGGAGCTCCGTGAAGAAACGGTCCGTGGTGTAGTTTCCCAGGTCTGCTTTGCTTGGATGTGGAGCTCGCTGTGCGAGGACGCGTTCTCTCCAGTGGCTTGCACACCATCTAGTGAGGAAATGCGATGCAAAATGGGAGCAGACCTAGAAGCAGACAACCCCCAGGCTCTGATCCTGTTGCCATGCGGCCGTTTCCCGGGCAACCCGTTCCCAGCGGCTCGTGATGGAGCAGTAAAACCGGTAGGTATTGATACAACCCAGGAGCAATTAAAGATATCGACTGGAGAGCCACCCCCTACTTATTCCCTCCATAAGAAAATGAACAGCCTTGAACATTTGTTGGGACTGGATCTCACTGACAGGGAGGCAGATGTTTAAAAAGTCTGGAAAACCTTTTCAACTCACAGTAAAACTATAAAAGCGACGTTAAAGCAAATATGCAAGTTTAAAAATGTTTAATTCATTAAATGTCATTAGAAACAATATAAGATGCTATTATAAGTCCCTATAGTGATTTGATAGTTTTTGTGTGGTTTAAACAAGCTTAGAAAAACCCCAACAAGCACACACACACACACACACACACACACGACTTAGCAGCAAAGTTTGTTTTAGAGCACTGGCCCTCTGCATTATGCTGCTCTAAGCCTTTTGACTTAGCCTACATAATACTTGACAGACTGTTGAGCCGTAACCATGGAAATGACATATATTTGTATGAGATGACATGTGGGCATGGTGCTGAATTACAGCAGACACATAATGGATTATGAACTTAACATTTAGTGTAACAACATGAGGCACTGAATGAAGAAATCAGGTTGACTTGAACAGTTGAATGTTCCTTGCAGGGATGTTCTGCCCGAGATCTTCAAGTAGCAGATGTAAATGTGCAACCTAATCTCTATTGTTGTTGTTTTGTTTTTATTTATGCAACCATCACCATGTTTCTGATTTACAGATTTATAGTTTAGGCTTTCATGTATGTATTTCGTTATTTTCAGTATAGCTGCATTTTTTGTGATACTGTTTTATTATGATCCCCAAGAAAATTAATGAAATTCAAAAATGTAAAATCTTATCTCATCGGCCACAGAACCAAGTTTGTAGTGTGTGAGATCACAGTGATACACACCATCATTCACTGAAATAAAACTGACTGCTTCCGTTTTATACTGACACCAACTTTTTCTTGATGCTCCATGCTGGGTGTTGTAAGACTTTCTTCTGTTTTATCCTTTTTTGTCTCATCTTTTTCAAATGATTGGTTGCAGGTGGAACACAAATGTTATTTGCAGGACTAAATGGGTCTGGAATAAGAGAGTGTTCTAGAGGTGGGGGTGGGGGTGGGGTGGGGGGCATGTGTTTTGAAAACGACTCAAGAAACCAATGATCCATGACAAGCTGTATTAAAAGAGGAGGAATGAAAAGTTCATCTTGTCACAAACATAGTTGTAATTTGCATAACTGAAGCTCCCTCTACTGTTAATTGCTATGATAATGCCATCAGTAGAAATAGTTCCGTGGCAGAGGGGTTTGAGGTCTCAGACAATCTCATGTCTTTCCATCCCTGGCTTTTTACACTGTTTTTCCTTTTTTTTTTCTCATCCTGAGCCCTTCAAATTACCTCAGAAAATGTACCTTCCCATGCATAAAAGCTATAATTACAATGACTCCATTTAGGCAGCCTCTAATATTCAACTCATAATAACCTCAGGATTTATGAGCAAGATGAAAGGGATCAGGACTGGACCATCACAACGTCAGAGCTGTTTTGAGTAATGGATACCTTAGAAACTTTTTCAGATTTTTGTGGCCATTCCACTTCTCAAAATGACAGACGGTTCTTTATCAAAGTTGCTTTGATCAGATTGAAATGACACATGAAAATAAGCTGAACAAAAATTCAAGCTTTGAAAAAAACATCTACATATGCATATATATATATATATATATATATATATATATATATATATATATATATATATATATATTTGCTGTAGCTTTTTTCATCCGAATGTCCTAGTTTCCAATATCTAACGTAGACCACGTTAATCCATATGATGTCTAAGCTTACATGACATTAGCTTTGTATCTGTGTCATACACACAGATACGCTGCTGAAGGTTACCATGACTGGGATTTGAACTTCTGATCTTCCATTCCAAGTTTGCACAACAGCAATACCTAAAACCTTGAAATTGTCTGGCACACAATGGCAGGATATTATATAGAGAAGCACAAACATACACATAACTCTACAACCAAATGGTTAGAATAATGTACTGGAGCATATCAGGTTGGGGCTGGGACATAGCCTAAGTGGGTGTAGAGGGACATTAGATAATGTAGGATTCCCAAACAAGTGATGGTTACCAACTCAACTTTGTGATAGAGGAAAAAAGACTTCCGCTGAGGTCAACAGGGATATACGTAGCGATCCCACGTGATAGTATCAGGAAGAAGGAACACGAGAAGCTCAAGAAATATGAAGAGCTGAAAGAGAAAATAAAGCCAGCTCAGTGCCCTAGTGGCAGAGTGTCTGCCCTGAAACTGGAAGATCAGCGTTCAAATCCCATTCGGGTCATACTAGCCTAGGGAATTAGACAAAATTCTTTCTTTGCAAAGTTTGGTCTATTGGAACCTCTGCGGCCCCTAGCAGCATTCTGGCTGGTCAATCACAGCTGTCTATAGGGAGCCCAAGTAACACCCATCTACTTCCGCACCACGAGTCTCCAGAAGAACGAAAAAACGAATGCAAGTCAGTGGGGCTAAATGTTAGCTGGTACGATAAAATGTCACGATGTCGCTGTGAGCCTGTGTGTGTATTTGTTAGCGGCTCCGCCCTCTCGGTCTGCTAGGCAACAGCATTTGTTGCATTTTTCAAACAGGAAGTGGGAGTGGAGTAATATTCTGGTAGGGGGTGACTTGCTCTTTAACTTAAAATAAATTACCTATCATTTTGGTAGGAATTTGTACCTAAGTTGCAATTAGTTAGAGAAAAAATACATTTTGAATATGCCAAATTGTGAATAAAATGAGGGAAAAACACAAATTAGAGTTTGAAACATGTTTAATAGTGGCTTTGAAATACACCCAAGTGTTGTAAAACTAACTTCAATGTTATTCCAATGGAAAATTTCTGCAATTTCTCACAATTTTGTGCCTCTAGCTCATCGACAAAAGTCACAGCCTTATTTAATGACACTTATAATAAACTTTATCATTTAAAATAATCAAATATTCATTTTTATTTAATAATAGTAATTGAAATGTGTTTTTAATGAACATTTACTACAAATTTTTACCTTTTTATTTCTGGGTTAGATAAGTCAGCTGTAAAGCCATGGTTTTTTTTAAAGGAAAAGCAAATAAACTGAGGTGTTTTGACTTCTATCAAACAGAATGTAATTGTATGAAGTAAAACTTAAATCAAGTTAAAGTGTTAAGATTAATTGCATCTAAAATCTGATTAAGAAAATGACAGAATGACATAATTGATTTTACATTTTATATAAAATTGTTGACAAACAGTAATCAAACACTTCACCTGGAAATAATGGCAGAAGACAACATTTCATATGGTCCACCATTCTTGGAACACAAAAGAAGGAAATCTGCTCTTTTTTGCCCCGAGTTCTTCACATTTGAAATTCCATCAGGGTGCAGTTCCTTAGCTGCCACTTGTTGGAGGGCTGAGTAATGTATTGCATTTCTCAAGCCATACCTTACTGTCAATTTTCTAATGTCAATTTATAACACAGGTATAAAGAACAAAACACTTTTTGAATGAACTATGGCATTTGATATATGTAGCCCCCACTCAGTAATTTATTTTAAGCCTTTCTTTTCTTTGCTTTTCTAGCACTGGCCACATGGGACTGAACCTACAGCACTCATGAGTCATAACCCATTTGTATTTTTGGACCGCACCGACCACATTTCATACAGAGTGGGAGGTTCAAAAAGCTCTGTTGAGTCATTAGGTATAGAAAGAAACAGATCTATTAGCCCCACAATTGCTGATTACTCCTCATGACATGCAGCAAAGCCAGATGGGTAAAATCTACAAAAAGTAATGTTTGAAAAGTCCATCTTGTCAACGCATGCTGAGAATGTGCCTCTGTAAAGATTTAATGACATCTTTTGAGGCTTAGCTTGGTTTCTTGTTAACTGTCACCTTTTGGAAGTGAAACAGCTGTCTGGAACAGTTGAGTGCCCAGTTGGCAAGATGTAGAGATGTCCATGGTGTATGGAGAATGCTTTAGGCTACATAATAATGAGACTCTGGGAACCAACAGTGGATTAGGCCACAGAGTAAACCATCATAATATTATAAACTGACTTAATGTAGTGATACCCTCAATTAATTCATCTTTTCTAAACACAAAAATGAACTTTGTAAACAGTGTTCTAAAGTACTCTTGATTATAAGTATTAAATCATCTGTTTTTAGATTAAACTTTTATCCAGATTAAAGACGCACTGGAGGGGTCATAAGGACCTACACGTTTGCTTTTGCACCACTAAAGTAACGCTTCAAATTCTCTAACACTCGGTGTCGTCATATAATTTATACATGTGACATTATCAATAAAAATGATGGAGGACATAATGGCTGTAACTGTTTATTGTTTGACTTAGATTTTACTTTTTATAGCCAGGTTTGTAAAAGCACAAAACATTTTCAGCAAAAGGAAAGTTTGGAGAAAAGGACTCTTACAAAAAAAATCTGTTCACTTTGTGTTGCAGAAGGTCAAATAAATCATATTAGACAGTAAGGATACGGCTTCTGCTTTAGCTATACAAATACAGTTTTAGTTGGCGGGTTGCTGAAAGAACATTCAGTCTGCTTAGCCAATCAATACAAACGTGTGTTCGTTTTTCATGCAGCTAGATGTAAGCCATTGTTTGTCTTTCACTTTCACATTAAATTGGCCAAACATATTTTTTGCAAAAAGCTATTTCAATCATTCCTTCAATCCAATCTTACAAACCTGGGGTGTCTAGTTTTATTTCTACCCATCAAAATTACTGCCAATCAGTGGAGTCTTTTTGTTGTGTTCAGTTGATTTATCAAGTTGACATAACTAATTCAAAATGTGGCACAAGAATTTTTTTAAAGGAAACAAAACTGGAGAAAATGAAAAGTTTTCTTTCAATAAACCAATA